TACTAGAGTATGCTAGTTAGAGTTACAGGAACACACTTTGGAGGTGTCAGCTGCTCTTGAAGTGCATGAAATCAGGTTTTAGAGAGAGTTCAGAGCAGTTGAAAGCTGCAGGAAAGAGTTTGTTTTGCCCAGCAGCAGTTTTGGTAGCTGCTAACCCTAACCCCAAACCCTAACCCTAGCCCTAGCCCTGACCCTGACCCTAACCCCTAAACCCTAACCCCTAACCCTAAGCCTAACCCTAACCCTGACAGTGGGCTGTCTCTCTCCCCTCCCAGAAGTGGTAACCCCCATGGAAAAGGAGGTCTCAGAGGTGGTGACTGCCCAGCCTGCCCCACTGGAAAGCAGCATGTTGGAGTATGATGGTGATGAAAACGATTATGATGAAGATGATTACATCAATCCTGATCTCAACCTGGTACGAATCCAGGGTGGGGAGAGAAACAGCATCCTCAGGGCACCTCCTGGGGGGGAGCATCTTGTATCTGGGGGAGAGGGATAGAGAGGGGTCCTGGTCCCCTCTGTCCCCCACAGGTAGAATCTTGGATCTTCAAGAAGTGGTTTGGTCACACGACACTGAAGGACAAGGACGGGGACAAGGATGAGGATGAAGAACCTGCTGATGTCCCTGAGGTGCCACCAGTTATGGCAGAGGTGAAGAAGAGCCAGGAGAAGAAGGTGGAGAGGAAGGAGGAGAAGGAGAAGAAAGAGGAGGAAGAGGAAGAACAGGAGGAGAAGAAGGAGGAGGAGGAGGAGAAGGTGAAGACCCAGGAGAGCTATGATGCCCATGCAGAGCAGAGCAGCCCAAGGAAATCACATGCCAAGGACAGGACAGGAGGTGACAAGCCTGGCAGAGCCCCCAGGACCCCCAGGGAACCAGACCAGCAGCTCCAGAAGAAGTGGGGCCAGGAGAGGAAAGAGAGGAAGGAGAGCCAGCAGGAGCGGGATGAATCCAGGAGGTAGGAGTGTCCTGTCAGGGCCGAGGGCTGCCGGGAGAGCCTGAAGAGGAACTGGAAACAGCAGACAGAGAAGGAAGCCTTGGGAGCCAGCCCAGGCAAGGAGGGCAGGCCCAGGGAGGGCAAGAGGTGTGACTGAGGCTGGGGCAGCCCAGAGGCTCGATGATGCTGGATCCAGGGGGATCCAATCCCACCACTGCCAAGAGTAAGTGCACCCCCTGTTCCTGCCTGCTCTCCAGAGACATCCTTGAGCAGCAGCAGAGCAACCCAGAAGCCTGGCACAAACCTCCCTGAGGACTTTGGGGCCCCCCTAGATCACACACACAAAAACAACCGAAAAGGACCCATGGACCTTGTGTTACCTCTCCATCCTCAGCATCCTTGAGCAGCAGCAGAGCAACCCAGAAGCCTGGCACAAACCTCCCTGAGGACTTTGGGGCCCCCCTAGATCACACACACAAAAACAACCGAAAAGGAGGACCTTACCTTGTGTTACCTCTCCATCCTCAGCCAAAATCTCTCTGCAGGTCATTTCCACTCATGGTCCTCGGGCATTGGGACAGTGCAGTGGCATCCCATTGATCCCAGGGAACAGAGTATGTCTCCAGACTGTGCAGCACTTCTGTTAATGGTTTTATTCAATGCAAATCAAGAGAGAAGAACATTCTGGGTTACAGAACCAGGCTGCAGCCATCCTCAGAGGGACATCAGGGATAGACACACACCCCCATCCCCTCAGCCCTGGTGCCATCACTGCAGGGTGGTGTAAAGCTTGCTGGCAATCGGACAGGGCTGGAGCCCATCACCCAGGGATCCTTTGGGCCTTGCCTTCATTGAGTCCCTTTTAGGAAGGAAACACAAGCACAGTATCACATAGCCTTGGAGCTGCTACAAGAGACATTCACAGCCTCAACCCACGGCAGATGTTTGCCAAATCAATAGAGGTTAAAACAAAATATTTTCATTTTTAATAAGGTATTCGACTGAATATTTAAAAGATGAGAAAAACAACACAAAAAAACCCTTGTCCCTGGTTATGTGCTTGTGTCTGCACACATGGATGTGGGCTCAGGTCTAACCTGGGTCCCCATGGGGCTGCAAGACAGGGCCTGTAGGTGCCAACCTCTGGCTGTGCCTCCACCAGTCCCATGGGGACACCGCAAAGCCCAAGCCTGGCACTAGGGGATGCGGCCAGAATAAGCCCAGGAGCTGCTTTTCGAGGGCTTGGATCCCTCTTTGAGGGGCTGGACTCAGCTGGGAAGATAATCTGGGGGAGCCAGGGACTCCGTGCTGATGTCAGTGGGGACATGGAGCAAGTGCTTTGGCAGCCATTTGTGCCTGCTCCCTGTAATGGTGTGAGCAGTCCAGGATCACTCCTTCCACTCACCCTGGCTCTGGCAGTGCTCCAGGAGTGGGGTCAGCATGGGATGCCGCAGGTGTGACCTGACTGGGAGCCCCAAGCCATGGCCAGTGGCTCCCCATGGCCCCAGCTCACACGGGGACTGGTCCCCAGGTAAAGGCTAGTCTCAACGAGTGCATTTAACCTCTTGCACTGCTCTCACAGGTGGAGCTGCGTGGCCTGTGGGGACTAGTGATGAGCTGTGATGGGGAATAGCG